ATAACAATATACACTTGATTCTAAATTAAAATTTTTTTTCCCAGTATTAGTAAATAATCTATAAATAGTAATTAATGATTATATCTATATTAAATGACAGAATCCAAACGTCTCTTCATATTGTCGATTTTTAAAAAACCTTCCATGTTAATGTAAAATTGTAAAATTCCCTATGAAAATTGGAGAAATAATATGTCAGAGGGCGTTGGGCTCCTAGCCCCCCCTAGATCCGTCCCTGAGTAGATACATACAAGATACAACATAGGTGCTTGGGTACTATACTTCAATACTTCATTAGTCCATAATAATATGGAATCGATATTTGGTCGAATAATTCTGCTATTATTTTGAACTATACGCATACAACGATACAACCTATCCTATAGGCCATAGCCAATGACTTTTGACAGACGAAAATTCAAGACAGATTCCTATTTCAAAAGTATTGGTTTGTTGGTAATCGTAGGTATATGAATATATAACATGTCGAATGGTATACCTACACATAAAAATAAGGAATTTTTTGTCAGCGACGTGGCGATGTTGATGTGACGATAAACAAGTCGCGGCGTGACGACGTAGTAAAATGTTAATTTAAAAGCAGTGAGAGTTCAGAGTTATAATTTATAGACTAAGTACCGCATAGGCTCATTTTATAAAAATAATACTATACACATGGCAAATTATTTTGTCATGACTATACAGGCAATTGGATTTTTAGGGTGTGTGACGGCACACCCTTGTATCCCCTCCCGACTAGTGCCGAGTGCCATACCTGAGGCCAATGTGAAATAACGTAACAATTATAAATATATTCTATTCCATAGCGTGTTGTATTATTAAATTAATTATTATAATTAATATAAGGTACCTAGTTGAATTGTATTCACCTGTCCACTTAGTCAGTGTCTGAGTAGAAACTCGAAGGGCATTCGACATTCGCCACTGCCACACGCCGGGGAAATTGTGACTTGACATTTGTGATAGAACAATTTTGGTCCGCTCGCGACGACCATAATTATATTTGCTCGAGGTCACACTGTTTCCATGTGTTTTTTCCATATATTTTTTTCCCTACGGTTTTGATAAAAACAATAATTATCTATTTAGTATCGCAAATTCATGTTTTCGTCCTTTTCGACACTACGCTCCCGTCTGTTCGAACGTCTGTAAAATTTATGTATTTTTTTTTCGTTTTTACCTGTTTCTAACCTACAGTCAAAATTTCGCCATTAAACAGAATCCAGCTAGGGTGGTGTTCCACTTCTAAGGTAAGCACAGTTCGTTCAAATAATATTGATTTTTATAAGCAGCGGACGCCGGACAGTCACGGTTTGTGATCGTCGCTGTGATCAAAGTTTATCGCTGGGGGGCACCTGTTAGGCTGTAAGTGAGGTGAACGGAAGAAAATTTTACTCTTCTTCTTATACATTTTGACATCAATGTATTTTGCCTGGATGCCTTGAAATCATTAGATACGAAATTACTTAAGATCAACTTACCGCCCACTCCCATCAAAATAACTATTTCACTGTAATACTAAATTATATTTTATATTGGTATTAAATCATCTATGTCATTTGTCATAAGTAAACCCAACATTTGGCACCTATCAGTCCTATTTGATATGAAAATATGTTAATGAAAACAATGTTTTGTGCTCACATTGTCATAGGCTCAATAGCCTACATTATAAGGGGATCCAGAGTGCAACATTATATCTACAAAATATAAGACGAAAAAAATAATTTTGAATTTAGTATTTTAAGGAAAACTTTGGGATAAGCTTAAATTTACTTTTGGGGGTTGTAGGTAGAAAAGTATCCTTACATCCCCTAATTTGTACAAAATAATGCATAATGTTATAATACTTATTCATAATGAGGAGCTGATACATTTAAATTTCACTTTCATTATAATAAATACTTTAAAATAAATAATATTCATTTACCACTAGTTGTAATGTAATATTTTGACATACAATGTAGGACACATTCTTGTTATTGTATTTATTTAATTCAAAAATAATCCAATACAAAGTGCTATTAACTACCTTCCTACTTTTGACAACATTTTTGGTAGGAACTATTTTAGAAAATACTAGATATGTTTTTAATACCAAGTAGGAAATAAGAATAGATTAAAGTGGTTAAATTCATACAGTGTTATATTGTTAAATACTTATTTGTACAATGTTCAAGGTCAATTTAATGAAACTTAAATTCAGGATCCTTTATGTTATGTATTTGAGTGTTAACTAAAAGTGCAGAATGAGGATGACATATTATATAGGAATATACACTCAATTTTTATTATTATTCAATAATATTCATTGTGACTTATTGTAATCTTTTAAAATTGTTGTTGTGTACCACCTATATCTATTAATATACCTTCAACATTCAAAAGATACTCAGTAACATTTGTAAGTTTATTCGTAGACAATGTAATAAACAATAAATGTAATATAGAATTTCTAAAAATATTTTAGAATTTTAGCTATTCTTTATTTGTACTTATCATTTAAATGTCAAGTGTATTATTATCTATGACAGTCATTTGAGCACGTGATTAGATAATATTTGTTGAAATAACAATTAGATTAAAAGCAATTGAATTTAAATAAAATTTTTTAAAAATATTTTTGATTAAATTGAAATTTGAAAGGTAAATCAAAAAACGCTTTTAACATAATATATCATATCATTTAATGTTTAGTATAAATTTAAAAAATGGCGCCTTGCTGCCTTTACAACATAATTAAATAATGCCCTTTGATCTTTATTTGTATGAGCTGATAAGATAAATATTAGTCTGATACATCAAAAACGTTACCATTAGCAGCTTTCATTCTTTAGCTTATAGCTCTCTGTGCTACATGTTTCAATTACATACATTTGGTTATTTTTTATATATTATGCAAATAATAGTATTTTTCAAAACACCAGGGTAGGTAGTTAAGAAATAGATTAATTTTGTATTAAGTTTTTTTCTAATGTTAATGAAGTTAAAATGTTTGAGAAAAAATTAATTTTCAGGGACAGCGTCAGCTGGTAAAGTGGTGTGCAACAGGAAACGCTTGGCGTACAGTGAATTGGCAATCTGGACTAAACGTAGATCCACCGTGGCGTTGCTGACATTGTGATTGAGCGTTACACTGTTGAATAAAATATCACTACAAAGCTGCCTCGTAAGTAATATATTTCCTTGTAATAAAACAAAAATATAGTAGTTTTTTTTATTATACAATATAGTAGTATTCAGTATTAAACAGTATTTTATTACAATATTAATAAAAATATATTTTTATTGGACACTAAATATTTTAAACTATTAATTTTCTTGAATGAATTGTATCATTTCTTATTGAACAAATCTGTACCTAAATTGTATTAATATTATATTTAAAACAAATAATGTATTTTCATCAACACAGTTCTTATGTTATTCATATTTATTTATTTTAAAATAAATTAGGTATTTGCTTGTTTAATATTTTTTAGTATCAATGATTAATTCTTTTATTTAGTAACATGATATGAAATAACTACACAATGATTAAACACGTTTTTTTTATACCTAATTAAAATTAAAATTATAAGATAAATTTTAAGTGTTCAAAATGAAATACATGTTACTAACCTACTATGTTAAAGTAAAAATATTTTTAAACGGTTTGAATTTTGTAATGTGTTTTGAGAATTTAATTTTATTACCTACGTTGATTTTAATTATTGTTATAAATCCCCCTATACATCAAATAAATAAATTTATTCTACTCTATATTGTTTTTATGAGTAATGAGTTATGTTAAGTATCTTAGTAAGACTTAATAGAGATAATAGTAATTAGTATTCATAGGCAATATATCTATTTAATTTTTTAGATAAAGTAACATGATGTGTCTAAAGAAGTAAATGAAATTAAATATTTGATAGCAAATTGTTATCTAATTTGCACTTTAAACTTTTTTTTATGATGTTATCATTGTATTTTGACCAAAAAAATTTATCCATTTAAATTAATATTCTAAATTTATAAATTACCTATTATGTGCTTAAAATAGTTGTAAAACACATATTATGTTAAATTGTAATATTTAAGAAAAATTTAGTTTTTAACATAAATCTTTTAAAAAACAAAAATTATTTTAAAAATAGTAAAATTATGTAGGTAGGTACTTGTAAATATTTATATGAATTTTCTTTTTATGTTTTAAATTCAATTTAGTTACCTAATATGTCTTAATCCATTGAGCTTATTTTAAAATACTTATAAATTATACGGTATTCGTTTAGTATGTGACCTACCGTATTGGGTATTCATTTAGTATATGATCCACAGGACCATTAATTAATTTAAAAACAGTTAAATTAAAAATCATAAAATTATGTTAATAATTATTTAACTAATATATTAGTAATACAATATACAAATATAAAATAATACAGGATTACATTTAACAATGTCAAAATGAGTTAAACAAAATGAATGAAGACACATAGGTACCTATAACAGCAATAGGTATGTCAAAACTATTCAATAGATTTCATAAAATGATGTTGTTATAAAAAAGTTTTATTTTATTTAAATTATATTTTTAGAAATACACTTTTTGTATTTTACTTAAATTTCAAAAATTCATCTTACCTGTTAATAGATCAGTACCCGTACATAATATAGATAATTGTCTTGGTAGGTCACATACTAAACTCGATTTTCACTCTGTGGGTCACATACTAAACGAATACCAACTATACTATTTTTATTGATTGTGTTTTGTTAAATATTTATATTTAAATTATAACAACATATCCATATTATATTTATTTACTTAGTAAAATTTATCTTAGTAAATAATAGTTAACATTTTAAATGAAGATGTCTTAGTGTTATCAAATATTTTTTTTGTTTACAGTTTACCTTTTCAATTCACTAACATTTTCGGTGATTAAATATAGTATCTAAGACACTAATTGTATTGTACAAGCGAAATAAGCATGAGAATTTGTGGACTTGAAGAACAAATTCATGTCATTGATAATAAAGTGACTGTTGAAGAAATTATAAAGGATATAGTTAGAACAAAGGTAGTTATTATTTATTGTTTTAATTTATACTTAATTACTTTGTGATACCTACACTTCATGTTATATAATCACATATACCTTATACATTTTTTTTTTTTTTAGGAAATATCAGATCCATTTTATATATTTGATGTTGGTGATCTTGTGCATAAAGCAAGAATATGGCAGCAAAAGTTACCACGGGTAAAACCTTTTTATGGTGAGTTTGAATGAATATTTTATTTATTTGTATTTTCATATTACATTATATATAAGGTGATAGTAAAGTTTATTTATTTTGACTTAACAATGAGTATTAATTTCAAATAGTCTCTTAGGTTATGTTAAGTCCATTTGTTTTTCATCAATTTAATTTACATATGAATTTTCCAAAAATGATAATATTGTATCTAATAATCAAAATGTATCATATGTAATTCAAATAAAATTCTTATGTAGATAATATTGAACTTGTTGCTTTGCTCTTCTATTGTATAGTAATGAATTTATTACTTTTTATTAGGGTTTTCAACAAATTATTTGTGTTGTTATTTTAATGAATTTAAAACACTTCTTGATATTAAGTTGGTATTCAATTTAGTCAAAATATTAAGTATATTAAATTTTATAAGGCGACATTTCATCTTTATTTATCAAATTTTAGTTGGCAGATCATAAACTGTAAATATTAATTTACTATGTTAAACAATTGTCCAATTCAATGATTCCTCTGGGTGTTGTTATCATTTGTTTTATTAAAATTTTTAGTGTCTTAATATAGTAGCAATATTGTGTTTTGTAATTTGTGAGTGATTGAGTACTCATTTTGTAATTAAATGAACTGATAACTATTAAATTATTTAGAAATAATTAAATCAAATTCTAATAAACAGTGATACCTAACCATATGAAATTTAATGTGATCAATACTTATATGTCCATTTTCAATAGAAAATAATATCATCATTTTTCTTGTAAAACTGACCATAAAAAATATGTATTAAATATATCAGATTTAGGAGTTGTTTTTCGTTCAGATTTGTCATTTGGACTCCGCATAGATTCAATATATGTAAAAACTAGAAACAAGAATCTTGGGTTTTTTGATGAAAAATAACTAAAGGATATTCAAGACGAGAAGTGCTTATTTGTTTTATACATGAGTTTTTCAAGTCAGTATTAGGATTTGGCTCTATTGTACGGAAATTATCTTCAGGTCAGTTTCTGAAACTGTAGAAAAAATATATCATTGTTTTCACAGTAGGTATTTTGAAAAAATTAATATTAGGATCAGGTTCTTAATAATATAATTTTCAATATCTGTAGTCTGATTTTACAAGTACTAGGAATTGTAGAAACTTCTTTCTATTATAGGTAGCTTTAAAATTGTAAGACATTTGTATACTTGTATGTTCATATATATTGTTCTTAAATATTCTTATATATCTTGTATATTATGTTCTTGTTTGTTTATTAAAATATACTTCTAGAACAGAAAATACTAATTAGGAATACTTATAAAGTACATCTATGCATATAAGTTAAATTCTTATGCTATATGTTTTATCCATGAATCTAAAAATATCTTATTGGTCTTTATTAAAATACATTGTTGAACATCAATTAGTACTTATAAAATATATTAGAATAATTAAAACTTTTCAACTGAACTATTCATCGAATAGTTCAAACTTTTAAGAGTTTAATTATAATATTATTATCAATTTATATTTGAATAGGTAGTTTGATGTACAACCATTATTTAAATATTTTACAGATGATTATTATTTATTATTTAAATTAATATTTTCGGAGTAAAACTGTTTTCAATTTTTGTGTATTCTATAGTTAAGTTAAAATAAAAAAGGTGGGCAAGTGGGTGTCGCTCTGCTGTACAGTAGGTTACAAGTGAGTCACTGTATAATGGATGGTATTAAATTTGAATTCAATGATATAATATCATTGCATAAGAAAAACGATTCTGAGCGGTGACGGTATGTCAGTCTAAATATAAGACATATTATAATATACATATCTATGGTATTAAATAAAAAATTGACCTATAATAGGTACCTATAATAAATTCCAAATTAATCATATCACAATATCCATTAGATACTTATAACGCGTTATACATCAACAAAAACCTTGATACTGTCATAGATATATAATAGTACACTTTAGAAGTTTCAAGTACCCACGAATAATATTATACAATCACAACAAAATAACTAAAATAGTTATTCTAGGTTTTTAATATGTAATTTCGTCCAAATTTGAATTTAAAATGTCTGTAAAAAATAAGTGTGTTCATATATTTTTTAGATTTTTTGGTTATAGTATGAACTATTTATGAGAACCTTTGTGTTGAATTTGTAATCCTTAGCTATAAAAACTGAACATTTTATAATTTATTAATTACAATGATTGATAATTTTCGAGATTTTGATTAATTTTTGTCAAAATTTGATCTTTAAATGCTTATAAAAAAAAACTGTGCCTATGTATTTATAATATTTTTCAACTGCTATTGTAACAATATATCAGGAGACTTGTATTACATTTTTACACTTTTTGGCCCAACAGATAAAACTTTATTGATATTTATAGAAAAAAAAACTAAAAAAATTGAAAGCTGTAAATGCCCATAAACAGCTCAAAAAGAGTCAAAATATTTTCAAAATTGTATGGTGTATAGAAAATGCTAATTTAAACATTCAGTGAAATTTTCATGTATCTACAGTTTTTCGTTTTTGAATTGCAACAAAATAAGGAAATCGCTACATGAGAAATCGAGTGAAAATCCAATGTTGTAAAAATTTGAATTTCAAACGCTCATAAAAATTTAATTTGACTGTCCGGTAGAGATTTTTTATTGATAAAGGTAGATAATCTTATAAGGAATCTTGTGTTTCATTTTCAAATCTTAGATTTAAAAAGAAAAATTTTTACGAATTCTTAACTCAAAATAATTTGCTAATTTTCGTGATTTTTCCATATTTTGTCAATTTTTGAACTTTAAATGCTTATAAAGCTTTCCTTAATTTTTATGTTGTTTTTCCCGGCGCTTGTGAAAACCACTGGGAAATTTATACTTTTGACCCCCAAAAGTACCAACTAGATTCACTTTCCTATCAGAAAAGCTACTGATGAAGAAAATCCAAGCACTTTTACTGTCCTAAAACGTGATGACAGACACAAAAAAAATAAAAAAATATAAAAACATACATCATTGTAAAACCAATACATTCATCGCTCCGCTCAAAATCTAAAACTGTTTTATTAATAATTTGGTATATTATGAGGGATTAATTGCGTAAAGTACACAGTAGGTTAGGTTATGTGAAATCATAAAAAAATTTAATATGAAAACTGTTTATAATTGAATATATTATCATGTTAGTATAATTAGGCATATTATGTAATTTAATTTCTTGTCATCTAGAATCTAGATGGATAAAAGATATTAAGTCAAAAAATATATAAGATGTGATAAAAGATGAATAAAAAAAAAATTATCTAGAAAATTAATTATTTTACTTACCTGTCATATTTTCCATTTACTTATCATAATTTAAAAGTAAGACTACTAGGTTAAGATCATTTTACAGTCATTATTATTCCATTTTTTTTAACACAAAATAAATGTATTTATTTAGATAATTTCTGGACACTGGTTACAGGACATAATATATACTTTTGCAGTATTAAAATAGTGGTAAGTGAACAGACTTTATATTTGGATGTCGTTTATTATTGGGTACAATTTTTGTTGATGCTTAAACATTAAACTATATAGTCTGAGATTAGAAAAAGGTTAAAGTGCATATTTAGTCAATTATTTAATGAAATTAATTAAAAACATGTATATTAAAATAACATTTTAAATACCTATATTATAATACATTATTAATTTTCATTGTGCTATTAATTACATTTTAAATTTAATATTATAACATTCTACTTGCATATTGTGTATGCAACTAATTTGAAAATACATTACAGCTGTGAAATGCAACGACAATTCCCTTGTGTTAGAAACGTTGGCTGCGTTTGGAACGAATTTCGATTGTGCTTCCAAAGTAAGGATTTTTAAAAAATATATCCATAGATATTTACTCTAGGTAATAATATATATATTCTATAATTACATTTTTTTCATTAAGGCCGAGATAAAAAAAGTTTTGGACTTGGGAGTGAATCCATCTCGTATAATATTCGCTAATCCAGCAAAAATGACCTCACATATTAAGTATGCCATGAGCCAATGCGTTGATCTGACAACATTTGATAATGAACTGGAACTGTACAAAATTAAATCTATTCATCCATCCTGCAAGTAAGTTAATAATAGCTAACTTAAGACACAAAGTTAATATTTTGTTGGTTGTTTTAGCTTAGTTATACGAATTCGTTGTGATGCAACTGAAACTCAGTGTCCACTTGGTATTAAATATGGCTGTGATCCTCTAACCGAAGCACCTGCATTAATGTCATTGGCCCGTGATTTGGGTTTGTCTGTAGTAGGAGTAAGCTTTCATGTTGGTTCAGGATGCAATGAACCAGCTGCCTTTCGAAGAGCAATTGCTGCTTCAGCAGCTATTTTTCGACTTGCCCAGCAGTTAGGTTTTATGAATATGTACCTGTTGAACATTGGAGGAGGATTTCCTGGAAATAAAAGCACTTCGTTGGACAAAGTATGCTTCCTGTTAAAAAGGCAATCTTAAGTTTTTATTATAAATTATTTTATAACCTTATTTTTTAGATTGCAGACATAGTGAACGATGCACTTAATGAATGGTTCCCTCCAAACAATGGAGCTACCATCATAGCAGAACCAGGTAGATTCTTTGTGGCTTCAGCATTTACTCTCTCTACAAAAATTCACTCTATTAAAAAACGTTCAAATGATGAAAATCACATTATGTATTTTATTAATGATGGAGTGTATGGTTCTTTCAATAGTATTCTTTATGATCACTCAGTTGTTGTACCCAAACCTTTGAATGTGAGTCAGATAACATTGAATCATTAGTTGTTTGGATTTACTATTAACTTAATATGTTAACTTTGTTATAGGATTATCTAATGAGTCCAGTTTGCCAGAGTTCCATCTGGGGACCTACTTGTGATGGTTTGGATCAAGTAGTTGATTTGGTGAATATGCCACTGATGAGAATGGGTGATTGGATTACTTTTGAAGATATGGGAGCATATACAATACCTGTAGCTAGCACATTTAATGGATTTCCACTTCCCAAGGTCTTTGCTGTTGCCAGTCGAAGAATTTGGTAAGTTTCAATGTTGTAGTCTTAAAGAGTAAATGTAGTTTGTTTTTTTTAACATGCAACAATTTTTTTAGGCAAAAGTTGAAGAATTTAATGCCAATATCTGAGGATCATTTTACAACTGTGCCCATTGTTGCAACTATTAAAATGGTACGTTCAGTATCCAGCGATGATGATGAATGGGATGAAAATGATTTGGAATATACCCAACGATATCCATGTCTTCATCTGAAGAGTTCGTTCTCTATGCGCGAAGCATGAGTTTTTTGCTTGTATAATTAAATAACTTAGTCTCCATTTTATTATATTATTTAAAATTAGATATAAGTTTTTGTTAGCATCAATTGAATTGAGTAAAGAGGCAGCTCCCTATAACTATAAACATAATATAATAAATTCTAATCCTTTTAATTTATTCTTTACCATAGTTTAAGATTTGTTGTTCTTTTAATTATGATTTTATTTATTGGAGTGTTGCATTATGTAATATCTAATATTTAAAATACATTATGATAATTTAACATCACTATTTGTTTAACTAACAACTAGTATTAGACAACTGACCAACTACTGTTTGTTATTTGACAAATATAGAAAAATTGTGGTAACTGAATCTATTTGTCACATTTTACATTTACATGATTTTGTTGAATATTCGTACTGCTCATCCTGGACAGTGTTGCTGTTGCCGAGCGGTGCTGCCTCTGGGATCGGAGCAAACTCCGACTCTGCTGCAGAAGACAGCTCATAGCCGCTCGGCAATCCATCACTGTGCAAGGAGACAGACTACTCGACGTTTTCGTCGAACTCTTTTCTATCTGCGACTCTGAGAATCGGATTTTGTCCTTCAGGCCCCGACACTGTGGTCTGATCGTCGCCACTTGCAGTAGTTGCGCCCGTATCAATGGCAGACAGAAGAAGAGTAGGTAACTAAACGCACGAGGTATTCGTAGCTTTTGTCTGCATAAGTGCCTTCCATTATGTTGACTACAATGTCTTCTAAGATTTCGAGTAATATGATGTTTACCGCGTCGCGGTCGATGTTATACCTAATAGTTGGTTGCCATCTTTTATTTTTTGAGTGAAGATAATATTATTATGTACGTGTACTTTAGTCTTTAGGATTTAATTGAGAATTGGTAATGAGCTAAATAGGTATTAGCTAATAGCTAAATACCTACAAAATATATTCCAACGCAAAGACCTGTCTCCGAGAAAAGCTTCCGGATGACGACGTGTATTACTAGCCAGTAGGTAGTATGTAAGTATGTTTATCGTTCTCGACGGCCCACAGCATTAGAATAATTTCGAGCGCGTTAATTTTTCTAAAGACCATTATTATGTATTAATGTATTATTGATATAATATATCCTTATAGCCGGGCGATATAAAATCTATTGTTATCGAGTTCGAATTTCTTCGAATTTCACACTAATAATCATTTACGACTAACACATAGATTACGGGCGGCGACGACAAGATTAGAAATTGCCTAAATTGTTCCCCTTAAATAATAGCCACTTAGAGCCGCCTTAACGAGGATAGTTTCTGGTATTACGATTTGAATAAATATTCTGTGACTCGATTTATATACTTTTAGGTGATCTTTTTACTTTTATATATGTAACGGGCAAAGTAGGAAATTGAGCAATGTCCAATTAGATTTTGGTACTGTAGGTTAAATATTGAATATATTAAAAATCGTATAATCGATATTTTTCATTTTTGTGTCTCAGGAGAATTTTAAGAAGAAAAAAATCCTCTGATCATCGACTTCGATGGAGATTTCTTGTAGATGATTCGATCTATTTAGTTAGTACTTTTGGGCGTTAAAAATTGAAAATACTAAATGCTTTTTAATAGATAATCAGGGGAAAAAAATGAACGGTACGTATCTCATCCAACGATTTTCTTATTTTGTTATTACCTACTGCGTATACATGTTCCTCAGTACTTGTCTATAATATTTAGGAAATTACCTTAAATATTAAATGTTTAATATAAGACCATACTCGACAAGAGTTCAAAACGGTTCTATTATATAGTTATATATTAATTATATACTATTAGTAAATGTATATAGATAGTCACCACTCACCAGTACAGTAGTAGGTACTAAAAAATACAATCCAAAACAGCTACATTCAGGAAGACCGAAATCATTATTAATAGTGTCTTTCAGTCATTTAAATTTGAGAACAGATAAGGCATTTTCAGAATTATGGTTAAAAATCGTACAATTTTGTGAAAAAATTATATACCTACAACCTACTGCTGGAAGTTTCCGATCCAGGTTAGTTAGCCTAGCTTCTATGTTCATATACCTACTACGACTGTGATATTTGAAGCAAACTATTTAAAAATACAATTGTGTTTAACAATATAAATTTAAATATTTTAAAATACTGAAATAAGATGATGTGTTAAAATGTTTTCTCTAATAATTGGTAGGTATGATTGTGGTATAAGGACCGGCTTTGTATGCAAATGTATATTCTTTTACAATTCGCCTATAGAATTATTTTGATTCAAAACTTTGTAATGTGTAGATTCCATGGTTACATTTTTTTTGCATATTTTTGCATGCTTGAGTAAAAACGACTACCAATTGCATAATATTTCTATATAATTGCATACATAAAAGTTGCATAATAATATATAAATAGTTGATGATTTTTTTTTTGATTTTTAGCTCTGAAAATGTATTTATTCTTTTTAAATTTGATTTCCTGTTCTAATCATCGACGAGACAAGGCGAGTGTGATACGCTGTACTGAAATATAAATCTATGCTACTTAACAACAGCAGAAATTCCTAATTTGAAAATATAAAATTACATTTTCCAATTTTCCATATTCTATTAATTTTTCATTTATTTAGTACAATTTTTTTAGAGCGTATCAATTTTGTTCATTTTATATTACTACATAAATACATGCATATTTAATAAGTTTTAAGCCTTTAAGGGCATATAAATATCTGCCCTAATGAAAACACAATAACATTATGTCTATTAGAATTTGTAATACATATATGTATATAATTTTAATGCCGGTGGTTTATAGGTAAGGTATACCGCACACAATAATTATCGACTTAAGGTATTAATACTTAAAAAATATATAATAATATTTATTTATTTTTTATTTATTTATTTATTTATTTTTTTTTTATTTATTTATTACATATAATATATAATTGTAATTGTATACGCCCACAACTGGGCTCAGAACAGTTTTAATATAAATATATAACACATAAAAACATTATACAAGAGCAAATAACTTAATATTAATCTATTTATAGCTTAACATTATAATAGTATTTAAAATGAATACATAATAGTAGGTTCTTGATAGTATATTTAACATTTAAATAAAATTGATTTCAACCTGGTTAGATTATCATGAAAAAAATCGAAATTATTTATTGAGTTACCAGATCTTGAACATTCTATTGATCGGAGCGAATTGACTATAATTGTTACGATAAGTAGGTATATAAAACGTTTTTGATACACGAGTATTTGTTTGAGGAACATTTATAGGTATTTGGTTAAGTAGTTCTGGGCAGATTATTTGAGAGTTAAGTAGTTTATACAACCAAGACACATCATGAAAATGTTCTCCTATTTTTAAGCGACACTATATTAAAGTCACTGGCTAGCTGCTCCAGCGAGACGTCAGTTCTATAAGACTTATATGCTAGTACTCTCAAAAATCGTTTTTGGACCCGTTCAATTTTATTAATTAATCCCGTTTGGTAAGGATTCCAAATAACTGAGCCGTATTCAAGAATAGAACGGACTAAAGAACAATATAACAGTTTAAAGCAATTAGGGTTTTTAAAATCAACGCAGTTTCGTCTTATAAAACCAAATACTCTTAGAGCTTAATTACACATTATAGTTATGTGATCATTAGATAAATGATAGGTCACTTGACAAAAGTATACCTAAATCCCTTATCTGTGTTACAATCATTAAATTAGATTTGTTCATTTCATATTGAAATTGAGTATTTTTTTTTCTCCTCAAAAATGATATTTGTGAGCATTTTTCAGCATTAACATTCAACCCATTTAATGAACACCACAAGCAAAAATCGTCTAGATCGGCTTGTAGTTTAAGGCAATCTTCGTGAGAGTAAATAGGCATGTATAGTTTTAAATCGTCCGCAAACATTAAGAAATTACTGCTTTTAAGAATATCTTGTAACGTCATTTATAAAAAGTGTAAATAATATAGGTGATAAGTAGGGCAGAGGACTTGTACCTAGCATTTGCATATTTTTTTTGCACAGTCACAAAAATAGCAGAGTGCGAAACAAATACGTTCCATGCTTCCACAAAGCTAGTTTTAAAAATCTATTGTGCATATAAATGCATATTTTGCAATTTTTTTGGTTTTTAGGGCATATTTCTTTCATTTTATACTTTTAGATGCATATTTTAAATAATTTATCATTTTATCAACATAGGTTAGTTTTAGTCGACGTATTTATTTATTTATTTTTACAACCAAAATGACGTTGAATTTAAAATTATTTTAAATGTTGATCATTATATGATCTTTCACTTTCTCCGGAACCTATAAATACAAGGTAGGGGGGATCGTGGGTAAAAGCCGCATGTTAGTATTGTGAACACCAATAAATATAAACCACTATAAAAAATAAAAATAATTGAAGACGTTTTTTAAAATTAAATCAAGCACCCGGTTTTAAATTAAATCAAGCACCCGGTACAGTGGGTAAATTATTCAAGAGAACATGAATATTTTAGAGAAAAATAAAAGTTAACAAATATTGGCTCAAATGTCAAGAATTTTATTTGGTGAAGAAACTTCAATTTTAGTCAGAATACCTGAAATCTTGAGCCTTGGTGATTTAGAATATATTAAATATGGTCCTATAAATTCTGTTGATGTTGAACGTTTTTTTTCAATGTTCAAAGTGCTGTTAGCTGACAATAGAAAAAGTTTTCAATTTGAAAATTTGAAAAAAACATCTTATTGTTCAATATAACTTCCAATGTAAAAATGTGTGTTAATCTTAAATATTTGAAACAAAAATATTTTGTCAATTGTTTTATAGTAGTTGAAGAAGTAGAAAGTAGAAAGTTTTGAAGATGTATCCAGATGAGAAAACATCAAATAAACCAAATAATTTATTGTAACTTGTAAGGTTGTTAAAGTTGTAAATACAATTTATTCATTAAAATAATAGAGAAGTACCTACAGAAAACTTTTTGTTTTTCGTTAAAAAATATTCATTTTTAAATGCATATTTATAATGCATATATTTTATATTTGAGTGCATATTTGGTGATTTTTTAGAGCTACAAGTCCTCTGCCCTAGTGATAAGTGTCCGCCTTGAGGGACTCCAGATGTAACATTTATAGACAATGAAACACTATTGTTGCCGCCGCAACATAATTAAATAATAGTATATACCTACGCATCATTTAAATTATAATATCATTGTCGGGCAACGAGGATAGCCGGTCACACACACACACACACACACACACACACACACTATCACCTGTTGTCATAATATTTATTTTTGTATGAACCTATTTAAATGTCTTGTGAGTTATATAATATGTAGATTAAATGATATCGTGCCGTCTACGCGGATATTTACTTAGCACGGCCGCCGTAAATGTCTGTCGCTTCCCGTACGTTGTTCCGACCGTTTCAACGCGCACAAAAAATATTATGTTTAATAATTGTTTAAATAACTTATATTGTTTTTTATTATAATTATTAGCGCCAGAAGGGCCTAGTTAAATTGTAACTGATTAAATTATATTAAATTCTCGGTGTGACATTATAGCATTATAAATTATTATTGTCGTAAAAAGCGCGAATCGCTAAATAGTTATTTTATATTTGTTCGGGCGCGAATCGCCAGGTTTCAATTATATTGTGCGGTGCAAATCACCATACCTTGACTATTATTATTTATCGTAAGGCGAGAATCGCCAGTGTATTTTATTTTATTATTATTTATTATTATGTCGATATAGCTCAGGACCAGCTGGCCAGTCTGCGCTCCACCAAATACTGTGAGTTATTTATTGTATTTTATATTTTTTGTTACAATATTTATTATATTCTGTCGTGCCATAAGGGCCGTACAATTATTATTATACCACATTGTGCCATAAGGGCGCATAGCACTATCATAATATTATCATTTTTATATTATATTTTTATACCTATTGTGTTGCTGTGATTTTTATATATTTGTGTCATTATTCTTGTGTATTATACAGCAACAGCAACTTATTACCAAAAACCGTGTTACCATTTTATTATTATTGTTTTATTGTACACACACCCATATATATGTTAGCGTTAATGTATGAAATTCCGTAATTCTATAGAATAACTAGTTATTTTATAGAATTACGGGTACTTTCAGTTAATGCATTGAATGAATCCATAAATATATACTTCAACTAGTTATTCTACATACCAACTAGATATTTTATAAACTAACAATAAGGGTTTAGTTAATGTATTTAAAACTATTATTGAATAAAAGTTTTAATCAAATTACAAATTACAAACAAAATCAAATGTTATAGTATTAAGTCAAACAAGCCTTACAATATTATATAAAATATTAATATTAATTTATTTCACATCAATTTATTAGAATAATTATTAAAATCTTAATCAATTTACAAATTAAAAAATCAAATGTTATAGTATAAGTCAAACACGCCTTACATTATTATATAAAATATTAATATTAATTTTTTTTTCACGTCAATGTATTTGTATAATTTTTTTTTTAAAATTTACAATTTATTTATTAGTACAGGAACTTTTTGGGTGGCATTTAGAATTACAAAGTAAATTATTTTTTAAACATATGCACCGTTTTGTGGTGCACTTTTGTTGGCATGTATATCGTTGAATTCAAATTTAATATCATACATTATACAGTGACCCACTTGTAACCTACTGTTCAGCAGAGCGACACCCACTTGCCCACCTTTTTTATAATTGTATCAAATTTGGTTTTCATTTTAAAGCACCCTTATTAGTTATTACACTATACAACACTAAAAATGATTAAACTAACTAGTAAGTAAACTCGCAGTAGGTACACTGTCACACGAATAAGTCTAGTCTATGCCAAATGGTGTGGTTCAATACTATCTTATTTTATTATTTTTATTAATAACAACAACGGTAAAAAATGTTGTATGTTATCTAATCCAGTCCCGGTCATCTACCTAATGATATACATTTCATACATTAACGAAAACCCAATCGGTATTTTATGTATTAACTAGTAAAACCATGTAATTTATATATTAACGAACATATTTAGGAATTTTATAGAATAACTAGTTATTTAATAAAATAACGTATTACATACATTACCGCTAAAATATACATATACACACATAACACACAAACAATACACATAAATACACTACACGCATTACGTAGCTCGACAGTATTTGCCCGGCAATCCCGACCACTGCTGTTCGAGCTATTACACCACTACACACCCAGCTAGTCCTCGTATATTTAAGACCTGTCCTAGGTGTTAGTGGTCAACAATTAGGTGTCCGGGGTGCGCATACTATTATTATATGCTATCGGCCCGTCCAACTATCACCTAGTTTTACTTGTTGAGTTCTACCATTCAAGTATGATTCAAGCCATGCATGCATTGGTCCAACAATTACCGATCATTTCTAGTTTTTTTACTAGAATAGATAAGTCGACACTATCAAACGCTTTCCTAATATCAGTATAATATACAGCATCAACCTGTATACCTTTACTAATATATGATATGAGATCTGTATAGTAGGTTAATAAATTGGTCGTTGTTGACCTCGAATGTCTAAACCCGTGTTGATTATCTGAAATTACTTTATCAAGAACGGTTGTAAATTTTGGTACTAATAGTTTTTCAAAAGTTTTAGGCAATGAACTTAATTGCGAAATAGGACGATAGTTTGTTATGACATTTCGATTACCTGATTTAAAAACAGGATAAATAAAGCTAGATTTCCACTGGTTAGGAAAACAACCTGACGACAAAGAAAGATTGAATAGATAATAAATTGGATGTGTTAATGAAAAATAACACTTTTTATAAATTAATAATATTAATAATATATTAAAATACAATATCGTTTACCGATAATAATAATATATAATATATTTATACATATTATATCTAACATGACACACGATTTCAGACAACATTTTGTATATAATATAATATAATATAACAATATCGATCATTGAAATAGCTATATAGTATTGTGATATGATAGCAGTATAATAAAATTAGTAATTCATCATCTAAATCAAAATATAAGGTATCATAAAAAATGTATGATTATTTTTGCAACTCAAGCTTAATTATCATCTGCAGGTACATGTTCTTCAGCACGTTTCTGAAAAGAAAAAAAATTTAAAAAAATCAACAATTAGAGATACACACAGGCCGAGTCGAGTCTATAGGGTGGGCTACAGAAGATACTGTATGGGTGGGTAAATATTTACTTTTCAAAATAAGTATCGGTAACAGCATTTGAATATACTGTAAAAAAGTATTTTTTATCAACTAGGTACCTACCTACTATCTACTATTTACTATCTTATATTATCTGATGTGGGTCGTGGGTGTGCAAACAATTTATGAATTATGAGAATATAATTTACCTTGGAAACTTTTTCACCATAAATTGACCAAAACGCCGATTTAGCCATCGTCTTGTGACCAGTTTGCTGGTTGAACGTGGAGCACTCTTCGAACGGTGGACAGTACAATAAGTGCAGACTTACGGCCTTGTCGGTGTGACTAGCGTTTTCTACACGGTGTAGTCCCATCGCATCTGAGAGAACAATATAAAAATAAATAAATAAATGAAAGAAGATCGACGGATAAAATGTAGGTATATATCTATTAAATATATACCGATAAATTCGCAGCGTAAGTGTAAGTTTGGGGTCATATTTAGTGGAAGGTTTTCGATATTGTTAATAAAGTATATTTTATTGTTTTAATAAAACATTATGATTTGAAAAAATGTAAATTAATACATTCTTAAGAGCATATTCATACCTACCCCTTTATTATTAAATATTAATATTTTGGATGAAATAATTGTACCTAACATTGATATTTAGATTTTAGTGTCACCGTAAAATGTACGTCACAGGGGGGGGGGGGCATCGTAATGTACAGTATTAGGTACGACAAAAATCAATGTATTAATGTTCAATAAGTAAATTCAATAAGAATAGAAAAAAAATTTCTAAAAATTTGGATTTAGATATTCTTTTGCAAATATTTTCAGAACATCACAATAATAGAAAAATTATATTATAAAATAATATTTTCTGCTTCTATGTGAATTTTTTTTTAATAAATTTAATTTTTGTTAGTAGAAGTTGAAAAATGTCATCAGCTTATATTCTAAATAATATGGAGGTAGAATTATTTTTCATAGCATGAAAAATATATCCTAATCTTGAAGATGTAGGTAATTCTGTATTTATTTTTTTTTTTTAAATCAGGTACAATCTATTTTTTGTAATAATGAAATAATAGGTGTAGTTGTTGTGAAAAATGTATTTTTAACCAACTACCAATCAAAGATTAATTATAAATTTGTAAGATTCTTTATATGGCAACCGCCTAAGGATGAATTTGAGGGAGAAGGTCCTGTAGAATTTAATTGGGAAAAATTATGAAAAATTATAAAAGGTCCAATAATTTTATTATTTCAGTCATTGCAAGCAATCTGCTGGTATTTCTCTCTTTAAATTCGACTATTATTAATAAAAACATGGCCGCCGGAGTCGTTTGTACATTATTTTCGATTTATATGAAATTACCTCTATGCTTTTTTATTATTGATGAAATATAAAATAGTTAAAAACGAAAACAGTAGATCATACACGAATTCCGAGAGTATAGATATAGGAGATTTGGAGTTTAGATTTTAGAATCTCATAAGGAGAAAAACATATTATTGTAAATAATTAATTAGTCGGGAAGCTATACTATAGGTACCTACAACTGCCGCACACGTAAAACAGATCTCGCACATATTTGTGCAAATATTAAAATATTATGCAAAATAAAGCGAGTCGTTCAACCGGAACTATATATATATATAAAACATAAACATATATTATATTATATATCTACTATATGTGTTTTTAATTAATGCTGTATTGCGGTATAGGTATTCAAACGATATTATTATTTATATTATTTTTAATGCGCAGATGAGGTGAAATGCAAACAACGTTTTCGGATGTTTTTGTTTTTGGTTATTTGCGTGTTTGGGTAGATAAGCCATATAGGTAATCGTTATAGGTACACTGAACTCAAGTTATTCCATCGGAAATAATATACATATACTACCTATAGAGCGTTTCTCTTTTTAAACAAGCGCAAAGAGTTCAGTCAAATTCTTGGTAATTAGCAATAATATGCAAATGTAATAGCCCAATAGAGTCGATGGAAACCGCTGCAACGGACAACCGAGCAATATCAAGTATACAAATATAAATGTTACCTTATAAACGGTTAGATTACTGTTTTTATAATTCATATTACCCGGCTTTGGCCAGGAAATTTTTTTTTCAAATTTTGTTCTACTCAACCGATAACTTAACACTTTTTACTGTGCTACTGGTATATTCTTATTTTCGTATTTTATCTGCCTTAACAGGAACATATATGTACACTTTTTATTTTGTGCAACTCTACTATACTCCGATTTTTAAGTATTATATTTTATTTTAAAGATCACATTTTAAAATTCTTGAGATTATGTCCACTACTTAAGGAGTGTTCTGTGTTTATACAAATTACAAACTTCTGTTTTTAAAATGAACCCCCCCCCCACTGTCTCTACTGTAAGCAATTTAGCGGATAATTTTTCTGAAAATTATAACACAATATGAAGATTATAATACACACGAGTAGTTTCTGAGTTATTTAACTTAGTGTACCTAGGTACTAAGGATGATATAAGTCCATGTTAGTGAGTTTTTAAGATAGAGGGGCTCCCTATGGTGATTTGAAAATTGTAGTTCTCTAATTAATATTTATCAATAAATATTTATAATTTGTAGAAATGGTTCCAGTATAATAAATAATATTAAATCCAATATTAAATTTATTTTATATTTTTGTACTGGCGAATCAACCTGTATACAAAACGTGCGGATTGAGTGCTTGACTATAATTTCCCTGTACTCGAGTAAAGATTGTTGTGCTTCGAGTCGAATAGTAGTTATCTCGATCAGTTTATTACCGATCTCTCGTCGACTGACGTAGGTATACTTATATGCACGCAGGCAAATGCCAAAGTGCGTATTATATACGAGCGACGTTACCCACGGTCAAGTGTTCAAGTGTTTTCTGCTAATGCCTGTAGGTAATCTTATAAGTTATAAGTATTATAACGCACCGTGCACGCGCGCGGATTCGCACTTTAAGTCGTCGTACAGCGAAAACAACATTATCATTTATCGTGCACTATATAAAAGTGCGTACCTACACTACAGGATTGATCGATTTTATTGCCTATCTGTCTATCTGGCGAGATAAGAGATTACTTTAAGAGCTTGGGCCGGCAATCACATCGAAAGCCAATATATTTATACAGCAATAATATACATTGTATATCAGCAGTGAAATCATTATAATATAATCCACAAGTGTGTGCATAATATATTATACCATACTATTTGTTTTCTGAGCGAACGATATTTTTCTTTATCACCCAAATGATAGTAAATAACAAATGTTTAAACGATTTAGAGTTTAACCATTCGTTTATCAAAACAATTGGCTGATGACGTATAGGTATACCACGTATACACATTATTACACTATAATATAGCTATTGTACACGCCTCGTCCCATATAAATGTATAATAATCAACTAACTAACCGACGGCATTAAATGATTGGACAGGAGTCCGGTAAGTCACCACTGTGGGGGGAGGGGTTAGAGGGTCAGGTCCTCTAAGAAAAAACAGTGGCCCCCGTATTGGCCCTCTTCAGTTTTATTTATTATACCAATGTTTGTATACTATATTATATGATATTAAGTCATATAAAAAAAATGAAACTATAAGATTTTATTAAATAAATATACGTCAGTCAAAAATGTGCCTGATAACGAGCGGGGAGGGGGGGTACACCAAGAAGAAAGGGACAAACAAATATTGGCTCCCTTATTAAAGAAAAATCGTACTTACAATCAATTTAAAAAGAATACCTACATTTCAATTCGATCGTCGAATATAATCGAAATGCTGTATAATATAAACATGTATATAATATAGGTGTCAAATAGGTACTCAGATAAAGTGTAAATTAATCAGTACCTATACGAGTATTACGTTAAAAATTGTCATCACACAAACCAACCCATAGGTAATACAGATATTAATATATTATGGCTAATTCGGAGTAATTCTCAACCTATTTTATACATTAGGTAGCTGTGATAGCCTACTTACCTACAATATATTCACATAAGGCCATATAGCCATATTGGTACTTATTGCAGTCTACAGAATACGGTTACCGAGTGTGTAGTCATCTCGTGACAATTAAACTTAAAACAATTTACACATGATAATATATTATTGGAGTTACTTTGTTTCATGCATTTTTAAATAATGATAAGAATAACAACTTACTAAAATGCGTATTAAATGCAATGCTTACTAAATTGTCAGTAGTTTCTAGTAAAAACAATATACGACAGGAAGAGAGCATAACGCATTTTCAAAATTCAATATAAATAGTAAAATAATTGCCTACATAACAATTTTTCACATAGGTACACTTGACCAAAAAGTTGGTAAAAGTCGTAGACATCTAAATACTATAATAAGTTATTGTAGCTTTATCATGTTTGGAGCAACTAATTTCATTTATATAGGTAAAGTAATAATTATTTTTCTTAAATATTTATGTAACTATTTTTTATTTAAAATCTAATTGGAGTTTATTCCATAACACACAATATTATTATTATTATATATTAGTTATTACGATAAAATTTAAAAAAGAACGACTCCTGCTCAGCAATATAGCTTAAGTCAATTTACAAACTATGATAATAATATATATTAGATGACATTTCTCAACTATATGCCTATCGTATAATATAAGTATATTCGTATATCACATTTTATAAATGAAACTTTCGGAGCGCTAATTTTATGTTGTAAGAAAAAAAATTCACCTTTGACTAGGGCGTGAAAATGCACGAACTAAAAATAGTACCTACCTATAAAGTTTTAGTGACTATAATAACTATCGAAATATTATGTGCACGATTATGCGTTTATTCCATTAAACCAAGAAATTAAAATCAACGTTTATTTATTTTTCGAGACCTTGTAACGTAAATAATATAGTTTAAAAAAGGAATTGTATATAAAATACTTCTTATTATATTTGTATGTTTAATCACGAGATGTTAACAGCCAGGCTACAGGTTATAGGTACACTCTGATTGTATTCACTTCACTTAACTACAAACTTTATATATTTGGACCATTCGCTTAAATAGTTAAAGCCATGGCCCATGGCAAATATATGTTATATATTGTACATGGACCCATGAGCACTATAATATTATATTATTAAGTACCTAGTACATATGTGCAGTTTGTTCTCGTTCACTCCTGCCTAAACTTTTATACTTCATACTTGTATAACTATAACGCGTGTTTGAATAATAATGGAAAATGGAAATCATGTATTATTATGGTTATAAAATAATACATAATTAACTATCAGGATTTTAAGAACCACCGAACGAAAAACAACGATTTCACTAATTGTTCAATTTATATAGGTTTGCCAACAAGTACTATACGAACCACACATTGTAAAGATCAACTTCAGCCTAAGAAAATTCGTAGTTTAAAAATTATAGAGTAGTTGAAGGGGACAAACCTAACCCCTAACGCGCTCAGGTATACAGTATACTTAATAATATATACTTGGAGGCTGGGAGTCATCGAGACCATAATATTGCAACTTTAAGCTAACTCATATGTATATTATTATATCATTATATTCTGACCGTTTATGTGGCACACGCCGTCCGTTTCTAGGAGCGTCCGTCCTATTTCGCACATGGGCTGGAGCTGTTGGTCGTCTTCGTCTACGTCGTCTACTGCGGACTTCTCGGGCCATGCAAACCTCACTTCGGTCAGCTGTCCGGCGAGCATTTTCATTATGCAATCCGACTCCGGGTGGTTGTGTATGGACGAACCGTCACCCTCGCCCCAGCACAACACCATCAGGTTGAACTTTCCGTTTCCCGCGTCCACCAGGTTCCTGGTGTACCGGAACTTGTTGAACTTGGCGTACTTGAGCCACTCGGCCGGGTCGCTCCGGTACGACTCCATCAGGTACTGCACGTACTCGACGTTGACGCGGTCCTCTGCGAACACCCTGTGCAGCTCGCCGATCAGATCGGTCAGCCGGAACTTGCCTCCGCTGCACCGGTCAGCGTCCTGCTGCACCACCGGCCGGTACACGTCCGATGGCATGTTCCGTTTCCGGCAGTAGCCCCTTATGGCCTGCACTGTCGAGCTGCAGTCGTCTCCGTCGACGTCCCGTTGCACTTGCTCTTGCGTCACCCGGCTGCACGGCCTCTTCTTCGGCCACGGCATAGGCTGTTGTCGCTCGTTGTCGTCGTCGTCGTCCATCGTCGTGGTCGGGACCTCTCTTCTCTTGACGCACTGCTGTTGTTGCTGCTGACTGACGCGTTCCATAACAACACCTGCGCAGATACGCACGTCACACACACATATTATTATTATTATATTATATCAGAGTCTATACCATGCATGTGCTATATCAGCCGAGTTTATATCATGCGTGTGCTATATCACCCGAGTTTAAAATGGTATAATCAAATTCGCAGGGAGCAAGATACCACGAGCATCACGTGGCAGCTGGTACCTTACTATCGCGAGGTTTACTGTGTCTTGGAGTGGACGAATAAGTTTATTATGTTCTATGGACAATCGTATGAACGAGTACGGTAATAATATAATTGTAGTTTCCGTACCGGAAAGCGCGCGTTTTTTATACGGCGTCGGTTCCTGACCTGGCGCGTCCCACCTCCACATCCACCTCCACCTCCTACCACACTTTTTATTTTTTCCCCAGTTTATACAGGGTGATTCTTTGAATGTATAAGATACTCATTATTTTATTAAAGTTGTTGAATATATTTTTTTCATATTAATTGAAGTTATTAAAAAGCAACATTTTGAAAAATAATGATATAATGAATTTCGCTATTTTTGATATCATTTTGCTATAGCTTTTTAGGTTTTTTTTTTCAATCACAAGATTGATACATTTTTAACTTCATATTCTGAAGCAAAATATTTTTCTGATTATTATTTATTTATATATACAGGACAAGTTCAGACATAGTAGGAACAGGGAGTAAGATTAAATTAAGATTAAAACTAAAATATATAGTAGTTAATTAGTTGTAATTATTCAAAATTGTTTGAGTGGAATAGTGTACCAATCATTTTTCAGGGTGGCTTTGTGCAATTCCACTCCTCTCGTCATAAGTTATAACAAATTTATAAAATATACTTCATTTTCAAAAATGTTAGTTATATGTCTTATATAAAAAGGATCATCCGGTATCGATAGACAGGACATGATAGTCGAAAGCGCTTAAAATTAAACTGTATATATTTTGCACACAAAATCATGTACGCTCCTTCTATAAATATAAATCGATGTGAAAACACCAATTATCCCACATTCATACCTACCCACAAAATAAGGAGCTTAGCCTAAAAACCTTCCCCTGATATTCAACATTTATATCAACACGCTTCATTACATACCTAATATTACTAAGTCATCAAAATAAGAAGTCGATAAAAAACAATTATAACTTTTTCAAACTCTTTATTATAACATGGTGTCATATTTAAAAGAAGAAAACTATTTTCTACAATATTGTTCGGGCGAGCCAGCTGTGAACCTAACTCTGAGTTTACCCAAGTCGTAAACTTTCGTTACTATACATAAATTCATAACCCTATAATCATATAAATATAGGTAATTATAATTCGATAAGACTATTATAGTTATACGTTTAAGAATTAATGGCAAATCGTTTTACCGCCGTATAGTACCTATATAAAAGCGGGCTCGAGGAATTTATCAACAATATGATCATAATAATATATAATATATCTATATATAAACACTGGACACGTAAAGATACAGGGCGATTATTTTAAAGCTTACCCATCGATACTTTATTTTGATACAACGCAAAATTCGTTTGAAAATTACCAATCACATTGTATAATATGCATTATAAATTATTATAATATATAAAAATAATTATAACGATTGTCGTTTGAAAATCAAAAGTCAACGCTACTTATGCACTCGAACGTACTTACGCGTATATAGTTACAAGAAGTATGTCTATATTTTATATAAGGCTGCACTAGTCGTGCAAACCATATATGCCTACCCATGCTATAACTAACTTATTAACATGTCCATATAAATATTATTCCAAAAAGACAAAAGCGTTTCAATCCCCTTGACGTGTAGATATATATGAATGGTAATTTGTTAAAAGGGACCCATGTACATTTTAAACTACTTTTCAGGGTAAACAAAAAACAGCTTTCCTTTATTTCTATTTGTGTAATAAGATCAATCATCACAATTTAGATTAAACAGTATTGAATAAAAAATAAATACCAAAAAAAAAAATTTAAAAATTTGTACTTTTATAAATACTTAACGAATTTTTGTAATGTGACATAGGTACCTTTAAACAAATTCTTATAATTTTATTAATTTGAGGTTTCATAATTTAAGATACTAGTCATATTTTAAAATAATATAATACCTTCTTATTTATTTTATCCAATTAAATAGATAACAATGCAACTAAATAACAAACTTTGAATATAAACAAATGAATAACAATCTTAAAAAAACAATATTTTTTTATTTAAATTAAAAAAAAAAGAAAAACTTATGTAGCTAATTTTTTTGAATCAGTCTTTGTGATTGATTAAAAATTATAAGCATATAATATATGTTTACATAAGAGGATGAATACTATACAACAAGACTATTTTTTTCCAAAATGTAACTTGGGTCCCTTTTAACAAATTCCCATTCATATATATCCACCGATTCGTGTTAAAAGAATTGTTCTGTATAATTTGCAAAAACACATACTGTAGGATCAAAATTGATAATCCACCGAAGCCTCGTCGAACTCGTATAATATAATTGTAGGTATACGCCGGTGTGTTTTCTTATTTTTCAGCATATAATTAACCTTATCAATATAGGTAGGTAAATACATATAATTCTCAGCTAAAACGAGTTGCGGCTTTCACTCAGATATTTGTGCGATCTTACCGTATAATTTAACATCACTTTCAAACATGTATCGCATGTACCGATGTATACACTATATAATAAACGCGATAAGCGACTGGACGTAAACAAACCATTAACTGGACATAGTATACAAGACCTACGTTTTCTTTACAGAGGGATAGAAAAAAAAAATTATAAGGTGTACCGCTACAACAACCACTTCTACAACTGCTAATGGACATTGGACTGGAGTATCGAAAGGTATATTAAACATCCTTTATGACGTCCTTGTACAATTTCCTTGGGTCTCTCAACAGTACATTATTATTCATTTTGAATAGGAGGTGAGGCCCAATTGCATAATTTAGGTTAATATTAAAAACAATAATACCTACAACGAATAGGATATATACAGATACAGATTACGAGAAGTTTCCTAATTAGTTTTCGTGATTTTAGTATAGATGGGGTGTTAATTGCAGTTGCTTTAAGGCTAAAATATAATACCTAAGTATTTAGACTGTCCAGTACTACGAGTTGGCTTGGAATGCAACGATCAATGACTAAAAAAAAAAACAGGACAGTCAATATATTTTCGGGCAAAAGCTTAAACAAAAAGTATATAAGTCCAAATAACACACATGGTGGTGTTCGATAACGTTTCAAGGTTAAGAGTGGACAAAAGTGGAGCAAACGAAGAGTGATAATATTACAGTAAATTCTTATTATGTAATACAGAAAATCTCAAAATACATCACTACTTATAGACGCCGATTCTCGTGAGGCCATAATACTGACTTTTTAATAGATATTATATCATAATATAATTTACAATATTCTATTATTATTATTTATTGTATATTTATATAGGAATTTTAAATATATACCTACGTCGGATTTGAAGAAAATACGAATAAAACACAGGATGGTACCTAGTAACTACTTCGTATTTTTAACACAACTCTAATTATTGTAACTAAAATATATAGGTACGTGTACGATGATTTATGCCCTTTGAACTCTTTATAATCATGATTTTGTTTTGATTTATTAGAAACATATAAAACCCACGCATAGAGTTAGATATACTCTCATATAGGTTTATAGATTAACGTTTCTACTACAATACTGGCATACTGCACAACGCGTAGCTTGAATAAAACACCAATCGGCAATTAACAATAAACAATAACAGATAATATATGTTTTATGTAACAAAAATAATGAATTGGATGCTTTATATTTGAAGGTAATATAGTATATCACGAGCAGACAAGAAAATAAGAAAAAATTATTCCAATACGCTCAGATTTTTGGGTGATTTTTTCTTATTGTGATCATGATTTAGTGATTTAGGTACCCACCATGATCTTACAAAACTTTCACAATAAAAAGATGGATAAGCTGCAGGTTAAGACATTGAACAATTTATTAGAAAACAAAATATTATGTATTGCTCAATTAATATTTAAATGTACCCTGTACAGTTGTAAACACAATTAATAATAATTAGTAGGTAGGTTTATATGAAATTAATGAAATGTTTGTAATTAATAATATTATAATACGGCTTGAATAACATTGACTGCACATCGCCCTGTAATAATAACGTATACACGGGATAATTTTCCAAAAGAACTAATTTTTAAATGTTATACGAGTTAAGTAAACAATATAATTAATGAAAAACCTGTGAAATGCCAATGTGTTATATCATTCAGTACAGCCGGTAGGTGTCTATGCAATAATGAAAAAATGTAAACAACTAGATAGGTAATAGGGACAACCATTGGAGCACAAAACAATATAATAAACATTAAAACATGTTTGTGGACTAATAATACACTTAGATTTTTAATTTTAAGGTTTTAGAGACATTTTGTATAATCACCGGTGTATTTGACAGTAAATGTCGTTGGTGCTTTTTGTGATTTTTTCATAATATATAGCTTTGTCCCATAATAACGCACATACATACAGACATACCTATAGTATTGGATCATCCGGACAAAAGCTTGCTAGTGATTGTCGAGGCCGTTATCAGATTATAACTTATTAGTAGAACCTATGAAGTAATATTATAGTAATTGTTTAAACACATTAACAGTTATACTTATTATATAAAATAATATTCTGCGTTTAACAATGGTTTGGTTTGGTTTCAACAGTTTGGTTTCCAAACAATCAGGTTTATTTGCAACTTGCAAGCGCATTATGTAAAGGTACTTATATATATATGTCGCAATAAACTGTATTACACAAAGTGCAGGTACATAATATTTTACTGCAAAATGAGCAGGATAAAACCTTCCCCTTAACATATATAGTATATGGAACTCCGATTATGATTATTTTCCTTACTAATAGTTTTTAATAATAC